CCATCTAAGACCAGTCCCTCCCCCTGCTCCTGTCCCATCTCCTCTCAAGATCACCCTCTTGGCTTCTCTTGGACAGCGCTTCTGCTAAGTATCTATGTTAAGTATCTCCTCTGTTCTTTTGGCTCACCGTGCTTGCCCTCCTTTCCTCTTCACAGAAGCTCAGGAGTTAAGGCTAGGGTGCAGGACTCCCTTGTGGCCAACTGTGGTTCGAGTCCCAGGCCTGGAAGCTTGCTTTCTCACTTTCCCTCTCTCCTTCTCTCTCTCTCTCTCTCTGGTGGGTGCACATGTTCTGTAGCAAATTTAAAATAATAATAAATAAATAAATAAATAAATAAATAAATAAATAAAATTAAATAATTCTTATAAAAAAAAAAAAGCCAGAAACAAGTAAACAAAATTTTCTCATCCCCATGTTGCCCTCCAGCCTTTGACCTAAAGCTCTACTCTCCTTTACTGCAAAACATGTTGAAGCAATTCTCCAGAAATGTAGTTGGATAAATTGGGAGATTCTATGGAGAGTCAGTACTGGAGGTATAATCTGGAACACAGATTTAAATTAGAATTTGAATTATGAAAATGAATCAGGTCACTACTGAATTGAAGTCTATCCCACTCTCTCCGAAGAGACCAAGCCTTTTTCCTCGTTTGTTTCCACAGATCCCTTGCTAATTAAATGTGCCTCCCCGCATTGAGGGTAGATCTTCTCCACTTAGTTAATGACATGTTGATCTTCTTTGGAACGGAAACAAACCCAGATTTCTTTAAAAACAATTTTTTCAGGCCAGCCAGTGGTATGGTGGTTAAGATAGTTGGAACCCACATGGCTGACTGCATGGTTCAAGTCCCAGACCTGATGGCTTGAAAAACATGCTGTGCATGTGTGCATACCTAAAATCCCAAGAGGAGAATGGAGGAGAGATTGCAGTATGGCTCTTCCCTCTGGGAGGGGCTTTCTTACCTTCTTTCTCTCTCTCTCCTTTCCTTTCTTTCTCTTCCCGGTGATTGTATGCACTTCTAAGCAAATTAAACATTTTTTTCTTTATTCATAATAGAGTATGTGTGTACAAATGTGAGAGAGAGAGAGAGAGAGAGAGAGATGAACACCCTCCACAAGGTCTAGTCATGCTGCGGCTACCTTCCTCCAGTCCTGCAGCCCTTCTGATCTCAGGCACTTATACACATGTTTCAGTCTGACCAGGACAGGGACTTGAACTGCTATTGCCATCTGGCATCTGGCTTTTTTTTTTTTTTTTTTTGGCTATAGGGCGCATATGCTCGCCAGACAGAGACAGAGAGACAGAAAGTGAGAAATCACCTCCCAGGGAGGATGGCCACGCCGCAATCCCTTCTCCTCTCGGGATCTTGGGCATGCACGCACATGCACCCAGTGTGAGTTTAAGCCACTGGGTCCCGGACTCGAACTGCAGTTGACTACATGGGAGTCCAGCGACATAGCCATTATGCCAACTGCTGGTCCCGTACCTGGCTTCTCTTGAGCAGTGCTTCACTACTGCCACAGAGTTGGCCTACTTTATGAGGTTTCTAGGTATTCCGACGTCCAAATTGTCATCCAAATAATAATAAATAAATAAATAAAAATTAAATAATTCTTTAAAAAAAAAATTCTTCTAGAACTTTACATGGTTGAATCCTTCTCAGCTCAGCTGAAATGCTCCATCCTCAGAAAAACCATTCCTCATCATCCAAACTAAAGAATTGCCCACCACCATCACCACCACACACAGTCTTGTGCGATTACACTATCTTTTACATTTTTCTACAGAGTTAATAAAAGAGAAAAAAATACTCCCTGACATTTTTATATTTATTTGTTTGCTTCCTTAGTGTCTGTCTCTACCTCATCATCCTGGCCCACTCAAACCCTCAATTATAAGCTACATTTTCCTGATCATTAACTAAAAGATTATCTGGCACTGAAAAATAAACTTGTTTCATAAATGAGTTACAAACTATGTGTTCCAAATTCCAAAATTCAAAATCTGTTCCTATAGCTAGACCGATGATGAGAGGAAGCATGAGAAATCAAGAGAATGCCTTTCAGATGAAATATAAAGATTTTCAAATAATTTGAGCTAAAAATGTGTTACGCTCTTCTAGAAAGCAGGCACATTCAAGGAACTGAGCAGCTATTATAAACTTTTGTCTCATCTCACCCTCACAACCCTGTAAGGTATGGATGAAGAAACGGGCTCAGAGAGGTTCAGTAACTGGCCCAGGGTCACACATTAGAGAGTGGGATCTGAACCAGGAATGTCTAACCCCAGAGCCCCTGCTTTGACCATCACAGTAACCAGGCCCTTTCCTTCACTTCCCCAAGCCTCAGAGTCCCCATCTGTAAAACAATGACAATAACAGGCTTCATAGGGTTGTTGTGAGGACTGTGGGAGATAATCCTTTGGGAAGTGTTAACCCAATCCACATGGAGACCATTCACTGCCTCTTCTTTATTGTCAATATCAGTGTTGTTCAGTATTACTTTTTAATTTATTTATTTATTTATTTTTTTAGTCATAGTGTGTGTGCACTTGCCGGAGACAAGAAAGAGACAGAGAGAGGAAAAATGAGAAATCACCCCCAAGGAGTGATGTCCATGCTACCATGCTCTCTCCTCCATTCTCCTCTCAGGATTTTGGGCATGCATGCACATGCAGCCAGGGTGATTTTCAAGTCATCAGGGTCTGAAACTCAAACCCTGGTCAGTCATGTGGAAATCTAGCCCTTTAACCTCCGTGCCACCTGCTGGGTCCAATATTACAATACTAATGAATGGAAGCGCTAAGACATGAGACTAGGCTGCTTAACCAAAGCCTATGTTTTCCCATGGTGTTGAATGGAAACTTGGCAGATCTGCTGGAAAAGGAAAGATGCTGAAGTTCTGACAATCTTCATAATCCCTCCATCTCTGAGAGTCTATAAGTTTCTTTCTCTCTCTCTTTTTTTTCTTTTTTAGAGAGATTTTTACTACAGGAAACGTGTGCTTGCTACAGAGACAGAGAGACAGAAAGTGAGAAATCACTGCCCAAGGTGAATGAACATGCTGTAATCCCTTCTCCTTTATTCTCCTCTTGGGATTTTGGGCACACACACACACACACACACACACACATGCCCAGTGGGAGTTTTAAGCTGCTGGGTCTGTGGTTGACTACATGTGAGTCCAGTGATGTAGCCATTACACCGTTTGCTGTTTCCAAGAGTCTACAGTTTCTGTCTTTATCCTCATGAGCCAATAGCAATTAGAGTTGGGGTTTCATCTCCCTCTACTTCTGAATGTAGCTCTGATTCACCTGGCCATGGCATTAAGGCAATACAGGTGAGATAGTCTGGTGTGATGTTCATTAATATCTAACCCAGCTGGGTTGGTTGTACTTCACTGTTTTGGGTCGGTGTGGAGAAATTCCTTCATAAGAGGACTTCAAAAATTCGTGGAAAATGGAACGAAGATAAGAGTTTATTTTGGTGTGGAAAAAAATTTTAAATACATGTACAGGTTATTCATAAGGTTACTGAACCAAACTACAGACCAAGAATCAGTCAGGGAAGGCTTAATATATTATAGGTGATGCCATCTGGGAGCCAGGTGGCATTGCTTTGCACAGGCTTGCTCAAAAGACCATCTCCCCAAACGTGTCAGAGATGGGCTTTTATGGCAGAAAAACTATTTGCACCCAAGCTTTCAACCAGGTCCATGTATGCACATGAAACACTTGTGCAGCTCTGATTGGTCAACTCAAGCTGCAGTCCCATTGTTCCATGATTGCAGCTAGCACTGTTCTGATTGGCTGGTGCACTGCAGCCAGCATCCACATTCCCTCCCTGCAGTGGGGGTCAGCTTTAGGTCACTCAGTCTCCCCAGTGTGTGCACACTCCAAGCAAACCCAAAAACCAGCAGTCAGCGCCAGAGCTTTCCTATCATCTGCCTGTTACAGTAATATGGATTTCCCATGACCTTTCTGAAGATCCCTCACATTGCACATAAGGTAAAATGGGCTTGATAATCTCTGCTTTCATGAACCATAAGGAGTGAATGGGTTAATAAGCACAGAGTACCCATCTCTGGGCCCATAGAACCTGCCTACTATTAAGAGAGGCCTCCCCTAAGCGGTGGTTACGGTTATTTTTCTCTCTGCAAGCCCCTGGGTGAACAGTGTATTGTTTAAGGAACCATGGCAGTCATGTTTGTGCAGAATTCACTTCCTATCTCGGCCCTGTTGGAGCTTTATCGGCCGATTAGAATTTGCTTCAGGGATAGGAGCTGGGACGTGAGAGGGACTGGATCTCTGTGCAGGACACAGAATGAGGCAAACAAGTTATGCTGTTCCTGTTTTTGAGTTTCAGGGAAAGACCAAGAGCTATTTTTAGCTGCGGTAGGTTTGGGTTCTGGGGAGGGCACTGAAGCTGTGTTTGTTACATTACATTTTAACATAATACAGTCACCCACTGGAGGGATCTGTTTCAGGTTGTTTTTATTAATCAAAGAGTGTATTTTTTTTCTCCAAGTTCAGATGTTCAGACTTAATGGGCAGCAAGCAAACAGTACCCAATACACAAATTTAACCTAATAAAAATAAATCCTTTGTTCTATCAAGTTTCCATGAGGTATCCTAAAAACAGGGGGGAAAAAGTCATAAATAGAGCATTGCTTTTGCTTGAGTAAGTTGTTTTTTTAGCAAAAAATATTTTGTGATTATACCATTGTATATCTCACAAAAATAAACTTTGCAAGAGTGTGCTGTGATTCAGCAACAAAGGCAAGACCTTTCCACAGAACATTTTTGAGCTGGTTCAGGTGTAGACAGATGTCTAATTGTCTGTGAAGATAATAGGCACAAAGCAGCGAGGGCGGGAAATAATTACAGCAGGTACAGACACTTTGGTTTGGGAGGTTAGAAACAAAATGTTGTTGGCATATAATAAATGATATCCTCCGAAGCAGACTCAACCTATCACTTAAGGAGTATTAGCTGAGAGCCAGCTCCCTGGTGCAGCAGTAATGCACTGCTCAAGAGAAGCTGGATTCCACATGGTGACCAGGGATGCAAATCCCTGGCCCGGTCAGCCTGAAACATGCTGGGCACACACATGCACTGAAGATCCAACAGGCTGGAGGACTAGAGGAAGGGGACAATGGTGTGATCAGATTCTGTAGAGGGTGGTCATATCTCTCTCTCCTCTCTCTCATGCATGTATGTGCTCTGTCATGAATAAAGAGAACAATTTAAATTTTTTTGTGGAGTGCATAGAATGGGTGCATCACCAGAGCTGCAAAATGTAACTAGATTTTGTTCTTGGAGCTTACAGCTTGATAAGGGAGAAAGATAAAAAAACAAACAACAACAACAACAAAAACAGTATGGCAGAATTCTTCGAGGAGAAATATCCTACAAGACTAACTGCAGTTTCCAAGCTGCTTCATAATACTGATCTGCAATTGCTTCATCTCTGACAGGAGTCTAAAAATTCCTGCTAAAAATGGCAGGTTAGGGCCTGCTGATGGCATAGTGGTTAAGGGCCAGATCTCATATGGCAAGTGCAGGGTCCAAATCCTGGACCTCGTGGCTTGAAAAGCACACCAGGCAAGTGTGTGCAGACCCAAAATCCCAAAAGGAGAAATGGAGAAGGGCTTCTGGAGTGACCACCCCCCATGGAGGGTGCTTTCTCACTTTCTCTCTGTCTCCAGTGAATACATGCATCCCCTAACAAATTGGGGAAAAAAAAAAAAAAGTCAAACATGTCACAAATGGTCAAATCAAATAAGCAAAACCCTCCCTTCATGGGGCCAGCAGGTAGTGAGGAGGTTATGGCGGCTGGAACTCACATGACTGACTGCCTGGTTTGAGTCTTGGACCCAACTGCTTAAAAACATGCTAGGTATATGGGTATGCATGCTCAAAGTCCTGAGAGGGGAAAGGAGGAGAAGGGACTGCAGAGTGATCATCCCCTCGGGCTGCTTTTGCACTCCCCTCTGTCCCTCTCCACCTCTCTCTGATGAGTGCAAGCGCCCTTAACAAACAACCTCCCATGTCCTCTTTTCCATGCTCCAAAATGAAAGAATAATCTAAGAAAGAGGAAAACACATGACCCAGAAATATAGAGTGCCCATGTGAACGAGAGGCCCCAGAAAGGGCTGGGGTGTTGGGGAGGGGATCTGGAGTGACAGCTGTGGAGCAGGAACACAGGCCACCTGTCCAGATCAGAGCTGGGCAGAAGCCCCTGGGGATTGCTTTCAAAGGATCCAATTGGTAGAACATCAAATGTATTTGGAAAGATTTAGAAAGAATTTATGCAACTGTGAACAGGTTTGAGGTTGAATTAGAGGTGAGTACACGGAAATTTAGGGACCTTTAAAATAAGAAAGTAATTCCAGGGGAAACAAACAAACAACAACAAAAAAAATGTGCAAGAAAAGTAAAAAAGATGCAGTGTGATAAATGACACAGCTGTAAAAATACTAATCTGGTTAAAATTCAATTATTTCTTTATTAGGAACACAGGAGAAGAGGAGAAAGTGTGTGGGTGTGTGTGTTGCACATACCGTGGTGGGTTCACAGCAGAGCTAAATTCCTATCTTCCACGGTGAGAAGCCAATAGATAGTGTCTACATTTGAGGAATCACGAAGTAGCAATATAAGCATATTACTGAAAGATGTGAAGGTGAGTAACGAAAAAGTCTGCTGAAGTGTTGAAGGTGTTTGTCTCTGGACTGTATCAATTGCATGGTATGGGTTTGGGAAAGGCCTGAGGGGAAGGGAGGTAACCATCCTCTTCTGTATTAAAGTATGTAGAACTTCTTCCCTTTACTACATGCACATACGACTCCGATCAGCAAACTAAAGTTTAAGTAATGACTGCACGAGAACAGAAAGTTCTCATGAACTGAAATTCCTTGCCGTGTTTGTTAACAAACATAAAAGTCATGTGCATGTCACATGGAAACCTTTCTGAGAAAGAGCTGCTATCACATGGTATGCTCAGGCTGACTGGCCCTTCCTATTCCTTCTCATATTTGCAAAGTTGGCTTGTTGATAAAACATCATTTGCTTACATGTGGGAGGGAGATAATAACTGTATATCTACTCCCTTAGGGTGGTTGAGGGGGGTGGAGAGAAGGGGCCTCTCCTTTACTTCTCCCACCATGCTGGTTGAGTGTCTAGAATGTCAGATATGGTGTTATGCGTATGAGACCACACTCAGAGTGGTGAAAACAATGCGATAAGAGACCTGACTTCCCACCTAGCCCCCCAACGTCACGTCTATGATATGAGAAAGAAATATACTTCTACCTTGCCTAAGTGCTGAGAAGCTGACTTGTAGTCTAACACCTCCCTTAATTTCATTACTATTAGTATTAGTAGCACTAATACAGTCATCACTCGCTGACCCTGGGGACTTCCCATAGATACCCAAATCCTTGGTTGTTCAGGTCCCTGATATAAAATGGCATAGTAGTTGCTTGTAACCTACACATAGCCTCCTGTTTTCTTTTTTTTTTTTTTAAGAGATATTTTTGCTTTAGGGTGCATCCACTTGCCAGAGAGACACAGAGAGACAGAAGATGAGAAGTCACCTCCAAGGGGGATGGCCACCCTGCAATCTCTTCTCCATTCTCCTCTCTGGATCTTGGACACACACACACACACACACACACACACACAGTGTGAGATTTTCCACTCCAGGTATAGGACTTGAACCACGATCAACTATGTGGGAGTCCAGCAACGTAACCACTATGCCATCCGCTGGTCCCAACCTCCTGTATTCTTTAGATCATCCCAATTGTTTATGGTGAGCTGACATGAAACATTAATATCAGACCAGGGGCCTGATGTCTTGATATGTATGTAGGATCAAAGGACCTAACAGGCACCCCGGCAAAGAGAAGAGCAAGAATGTTCTGGGCAGAGAGAACAGGATGGACACTCGTGATGAAGATAAGAGAGACACAGAGTTGGGGAACAGAAAAAAGTCGAAGGTGGAGTGGGAGAGGGAAATGGCAAGAGGCGAGGCTAAGTGAGCCATGTTCAGGCCTCACAAACCAGTTAAGGAGTTTTGAATTTCCTTCAGGGACCATGAGGTACCTCTGAAGGGAAGATGATGATATTTTCTTTTTCTTTTTTTTTCCTTTTTTTTTTGGAGAGGTTTCCGCTACAGGGCTCATGCGCTCGCCAGACAGACAGAGAGAGACATAGAGACAGAAAGCAAGAAATCGCCCCCCAGGGGGGATGGTCACGCCGCAATCCCTTCTCCTCCATTCTCCTCTTGGGATCTTGGGCACACATGCACACGCGCCCGGCGTGAGTTTTAAGCCACCTGGTCCGGGACGCGAATCACGGTCGACTACGTGAGAATCCAGCGACATAGCCATTACGCTAACTGCTGGTTCCTGATATTTTATTTTTAATAAAATAGTTATTTTTGGTATTTCTGGTATAGAGAACAGACTGGAAATTAGAAAGAATGGAGGCAAGGAGGCTAGTTAGGAGGCTGTTGTAGTAATCTAAGCAAGAGATAAAGGGTCGGTGTTGGGAGAGGCTGGTGGTATAGCAGTGGTGCAGTGCTCTGCCATGCTGGACTCTCATGGGAAGGTCCCAGGTTTGCGTCCACAGCCTCCCTGTACACAATGTGCAAATATGCGTGCCCACAATCCAGGCTGGCTGAGGCAGGGGGTGATTCACAATGTGGAGACCCTGTAGTGGTAACTATCCCTCTGTCTCTATCTCTTTATCTCACAGAAGGAATAGACTTTTAAAAAAAGAGTAAGAGAGAGGAAGGAAGAAAAAAGGAAAGAAGGAAGGGAAAGGAAAGAAGAAAAGGAAAGGAAGAAGGAAAGCAATGATAGGCGTAGTGGAGATGGAGATTGGAGATGGGGGCAGGTTTTGACAAGTTCAAATAGCAGGAAGAAGAACTAACTGATTCAACATGAAGGTAGACGGGGAATGGGCATTGAGAAGTAGGCCCAGATTGCTGGTTATTATCCTGGAAGGATGACCAGGCCGTTTACGGAGGCAGGGAACTGAAGAGGTGGAGTAGGTTTGAGGAGGAATATGGAAGACACTGAGCTTGATTTCAAGCATACTCTATCAGAAGAACCTGGAAAACATCCAAGCGCAGCAGTTTAGGAAGTTACTGGGTGTTCAAGGGTGAGTCTGGGGCTCCCTGTGGATTTTCATTCAATCTAGAACTAGTCTTTCTAAACCATTTTTAAAAGGTGGATTATTAGTCACATGTCTGAGAAGCCACATTAGGTTGGTGGTAGTAGGTCAGTCGCCACTTTACAACAGAGGAGGCTAAAGCTCCAAAAGATCCAAAACCTTTATGTGGGAAAGTGAGAAGGCTAATCCCTTAGTTTATCTCAAAAATAAATATCTAAACCGGGCCAGCTCACAGCCTGGTGGTTGAGGGAGCTGGGTCCCATAGGGCCCACCATGGTTTAATGACCAGCCTGAAAGCTCGAAAAACACTCTGGGTGCATGTGTGCGCACACTCGAAATCCTGATAGGATAGAGAAATGGAAGAGAAGAGATGTGGCATGGTCACAACCCAGTGAGAGATGCTTTCTCCCTCTCTTGTCTCTCTCTGGGGAGCGCATGTACCCTCTGGAACTCTAAAACAAGAAAAAAAAAAGAAAGCTCTCTCTGAGGGTGTGTTGTAAATAGTAAGAAGAGGCACTGATGTAAAATATCTAGGGATAAAACATTCCAGGAGAGGAACCCGCCATGGGTTCAGAAGTGAGACTGAGTTTAGGTATAGCCAGGGCACAGTAAACAAGAGAAATGGGATCAGGAAGGTGGATAGAGCCAAGTGGGGGATCTCGCATCGAACTTGTGTGGATTTTATTCCATGAACAATGGGACGTCATTGTGGGGTTTTAGCAAGAGAGCCACCTCGTTGTGAATTTACAGGACCAATCACTCGCTGCTGTGTAGCGGGTAGATTTGGGCAAGGGAATGACCCAGGGGTGCAAGCAGAATGCTGTCCCTTTAATAATGTTTGATGTCTGATTAATAAGTTAAACAACCCATTGATCCCATTTATTCAAAGACTCAGACAAACCAATTAAAAGGCCTAAAAACAAAGACTAGACATACCAGCTGTTTGCCAGCACTGGTCAGTTGCTTGAGCGAGAAGCTTGTCAAGCTCAATCAACGGGGTGAAGCCAGTAGCTCACAATGGAAAACTTAGTTTATCTCAAAAATAAATATCTAAACCGGGCCAGCTCACAGCCTGGTGGTTGAGGGAGCTGGGTCCCATAGGGCCCACCATGGTTTAATGACCAGCCTGAAAGCTCGAAAAACACTCTGGGTGCATGTGTGCGCACACTCGAAATCCTGATAGGATAGAGAAATGGAAGAGAAGAGATGTGGCATGGTCACAACCCAGTGAGAGATGCTTTCTCCCTCTCTTGTCTCTCTCTGGGGAGCGCATGTACCCTCTGGAACTCTAAAACAAGAAAAAAAAAAAGAAAGCTCTCTCTGAGGGTGTGTTGTAAATAGTAAGAAGATGCACTGATGTAAAATATCTAGGGATAAAACATTCCAGGAGAGGAACCCGCCATGGGTTCAGAAGTGAGACTGAGTTTAGGTATAGCCAGGGCACAGTAAACAAGAGAAATGGGATCAGGAAGGTGGATAGAGCCAAGTGGGGGATCTCGCATCGAACTTGTGTGGATTTTATTCCATGAACAATGGGACGTCATTGTGGGGTTTTAGCAAGAGAGCCACCTCGTTGTGAATTTACAGGACCAATCACTCGCTGCTGTGTAGCGGGTAGATTTGGGCAAGGGAATGACCCAGGGGTGCAAGCAGAATGCTGTCCCTTTAATAATGTTTGATGTCTGATTAATAAGTTAAACAACCCATTGATCCCATTTATTCAAAGAATCAGACAAACCAATTAAAAGGCCTAAAAACAAAGACTAGACATACCAGCTGTTTGCCAGCACTGGTCAGTTGCTTGAGCGAGAAGCTTGTCAAGCTCAATCAACGGGGTGAAGCCAGTAGCTCACAATGACACAGAGCTCACCAAGTCTGCCATTGTTCTCTCTCACCAGTCTTCAGCTGTGTCTCCGTGCCTCCAGGAATCTGGAGAAAAACAAAACCATTCTTTCTCAAACCTGGTGTTTTTTCGGTCATTTGCCGTCAGCCAGCCGTGACAGCAGCACAGGCTCAGATGTGCACCAGCGAGCACCCTGCACACACGGCTGTGTGCGCTTTATCTGCTTCCTCCCAGATTCACTAGCTAGCCCAGACTCTTTGGGATTTCCTCACAAACAGGGCCTGAATCACGGCAGAGGCTGGGCAGAGGCACAGTCATGCTTCCTGTCCTTAGCCATTCCTGGGCCAGGTGGACCGTCAGCGCCAACCACTGGCTCCCTGCTGTCCTGAGAGAGAAAGCACAGAGCACCCAAGCTGCCTGCCCCATGCAGCCCCTCTGGGGGAATCCTCACCCAGCCCTCACTGACAGAATGCATGTAAAATCTCCGAAGGTCATGGAGCGAGCCTTGACCCCATAGAGCCTCCAACACAGACTGACCTTCATCTTGCAGCCTGGCAAGGAAAACATGACAGGACAGACTTGAGCATTAGAACCAAGATCTCAGCAACTATGAACCATCTCAGGCACTGTGAGTCAGTAGTGGGCCCTGGGCTGGGAAG